AGGGAATAACAAAACAAGAAGGCCAACTACTGCTAAAATAAATCAGAGATTTTGTTAAATCAACATGTTTTGCTACTATGATACAGCACAGTGGCTAGCCTTGAAATTGTAGTATAATACATCAAGTGCAATACAACACTTGCTGTTATCACCTAAAATGACAGTTACTGCCAAAATCAACCAGGAAATTCTGTTTCTAATCAAGTCAGAAGTCAATTTAAGAATAGAGAACTCTGTAATGATACTATAAGGTTATTAATTAAAAGATAATTAATTAATATTATGTTAATTACAAGGATATGTAACTAATCAGCCCATCAGAGGAGGTTAATTTATACAAAGAATTTTAAGTTATAAAGCACATTTAGTATCCAATCAATAGCCCAGTCTTTACATTGTCGAACAATTCCTTTCTTACCTAAAGTCAGAGACTGTGCAAATGATTAATTCACACCACTCTGGTAAAATTATGTCAAGTTCTTGTCATTTGAATGCTACACGTGTTTTCTGTTAGAAGAAGCTGTTGAACTACCTGTGCACAGGCTGCACTTGTACACACTCATTAATGCTTTCAGTGTTTGCTCTTTGCATTGTGAAATCTTTACTCTGCAGCCAGAGACAAGAAATACGTGTTTGTCCCACCCCATAATCTCTGATGTCAAAGAGATATAAAAGTCTAAATAAATGGAATTGCCGAGGATTAAAAAAGATGACTGTGACATTACCTCAGATCGTTTTCTCAGGATGGAGGTTGTCTGGTGCTGCGGTACTAATACCATTAGTATAATTGGAAGCTGGTTCATATGTAATACAAGCACTTTATCAGTCAGTGAAGTCAGTTGCCCACTCAGTGTCAAACGAGCAGAATGGAACTCAATATTTGTACGTCATCACAGATTGCTTCTACAGTTTACATTGTGCAAATGAAGTAGAGTGAGAAGAAAATTTTACTCCTTAATCTCTGTGAAAAGCAATATATATACTAAATTTTAAGGTCTATTTAGTATAGCTGATTTATGCTGTTGTTCAGTAACAAAATCTATCATCGTTATCATAACTGATTATGCTAATGGTAAAGGTAAGATATTATGTTGTCAGCTTGCCTGGTAGTTTTTAACCAAGCTTAAGGCAGGGACCTAAGAAGGGATTAACTTTACCATGGCAAGGAAGGGCAACAGTGAACACTTCACATATACTCACAAATGTATGTAAAAAATTTAATAACAGAATTGGAAATCATTATGTTTTCTCAGGAAAATTAAAACTGCAAACTAGATCAGATATCCTTTTTCCTTTGTAAAACCTGAAGAATTGATTAATTCAGAGTTTTTGCCAACTTTTTCTTCTTTAAGAGTTTGAGGTGTTTCTGATCATTAGAAGGACACTGGTTCATAATCAGGAGCTTATTTGCATTTTCTCTCCATTTTTATCTGGGCTTTGCATAATGTATATTTTAAGCTTTTAGTGCTGTACAAAAGACTATTTTCTATGACTTGTTACAGCAAAAAAGATGACAAATGTGTTTTGGCAAACTTGAATCTAAATGGAACTCAATTAAACATGTGAAAATGTTACGACAATAGCCCTTAAAGCCATAAATATATGTAGTGTTTCTTAGACTACAAGCCAAAATGCAATATGGGCTGAACTTAACTTATTTTTCTCTACCCTCTTATTATTTTTTCTCTTTACCCTCTAGCAGATCATTACATGAAGGAACCTTTTAAAAAAAAAATACAAGCGCGTCCATGCTCACAGGTGTACACACGGGTGATCACACCCACAAACTACACCCTTTTTGGCTCCTACCTCAAAGCACACTGTGTTCTGTTGATCTTATGTGCTGCACAATAATGTTTAATATTTAGTATTTACTGTCATATTCCCATATATCATTGTGATGTTGTTTATTCTATTACTCTTGTTCTCTTCTGCTTGTTTTCTTTTTTCTTTCTCAACAGGTGATCCAGGTGATCGATATATGCATTTATTTCTTTTCTTTTTTTTTTCTGCCCATTCTGTTGGTTTTTGTTTTTTGCCCTTCTCCCCCGTCCCTCTTCTCAGCTGTTTCTCTTTCCCTCTTTCTTTCTCCCCTTCTTTCCCCCAGTCAAGTCTGTCCCGTATTCAGCAAGTGAAAATAAAATAAACAATAAAAGGTGAATCAAATGGACCATTATGGCAAGGCTGGGATGGTCAGTTTGGTAAAGTAAATCCGTTGAGCATCTTTCTTTGCCTTTAGACAATAATTCTGATGGCAAAAGAGCCAAACGGGACAGGCAAAAACCCCCCCCAAAAAAACCACTTATTTTTCTACAAATCTTTGCCATTTCAGTATTCATTCACTGTATAATCACACAGTTGCTTTAAATGCAGAGCATCCCATGATTGTAAGTTTAACTTTGATATTCAACAAACATGGAGTCTCCAGTTACTTTCCAGCTATCTCAACTTTATAGAGGGGATGTAAGCACCTTTTTCTGGTCTGTGTATGACATCTCCTTTCAGTGAGACCTTCATTAGTTTCTAGCTTGGAGAGTCACTTCCTGGCATTTGCAAATAATTCAATCACTTCTTAATGGCCATAATAAACGAGAGCTCGCATTGAAGCTAATCCTCCTAAGTACACACAATAACTGAAAAAGGTAGCAGTATAACAATCAGCTTTATGAGCCTTTGCTATTATCCACAACTCTTTGTGAACAGGTTTCCTTAAAAGTGTAATATTATGCTTCATTACCACTTTTCAGTGTTGTGTTTTCCATTTTCTAATGTATATATATGTTACATATTACCACCTATTTTGCACTAGTTATACTTGTAAAGGTAGGGCGAAAAAACCCAAACAAACAGAAAAAGCTGGTGCTGAATACAAATTGTCTGCAAAGCACTTAGGATTTTATCATTTCCCGACTTGAGGTACAATACGCACACCAGAAAATGAAAATGTTCTACAGAAGTGAAACACTGATTTGCAGTAAATGTAGCTGTTATGAGTGAATTTCAATTATAGGATGGATACCCCACAATGCTTTGGTACACTGCAGAGTTCTGAGTTAATTATTTGCTTGACTAATGTGCAGGCCTTAAGATAGAGGTTCAGCAACCAAAACCATTTTTTTCTTTTCCTTTCCTCCATTGTTCGTGAAGAAAAGAGCGTGACACATGGGTGCATTTCTTTTTCTCAGTAGGTTTACGGAAACAGTGAAACATTTGTGCTTGGTTTGATCCTCCAGGGGAAAAAAACAATCTGCAGTAGGAAAAGGAGGTTGGAAAAAATCAGTTTTTACAATTTGATATGGGAATTATTCCACACATTAATTAAAACTGATTTTTTTTATGTTATGAATTTGTTCCACTACACGTTAAAACAAAGCAAACTCTTTAAACTTCTTAGTACCTAATCACACCAGCACGCCGAAAGCTGGCATTGCTTCTTTTTCCACAAAATAGTGTGCCATTGAAAGGCATATTAAAAGATAAAAGCAAACATTAACCTTGCATTGCTCACAACCACTGGCTTTAATAACATTTTGTTCTTTTTGTTAATCAAAATAATATCTGATACTCATGTTACTGAAGCCTGGTACACATGTGTCATTCTTCCTGGGCTAAACAAATGACCAACATAGAAGTCATCGATATAAAAGTGCACATCAGTCCCTAGATGAGTGTCCTTGTACACATTCAGCCTGCAAATTTCTTTCAGTATCTGGATTTCAGTGTTGTTCTTCTTCACTATGCTTTGCAGCATCCTTTAGCTTACCCACCATACGGCTAAAAATGTCTCTGGGCATAATGGTCACCAGCGGTGCAAATGTGTGAGTCAGTGTAGAAGATAGTCTAGACTTAAACAAAAAGCAACATGCAGTGGGAACGGGGAAAAAAGACCTTCATACAACAGAATTTGCAGTCCTACAGCTCAGACAGAAGTATGACTAGTATCCACTGATAAAAGCACAATATCCAAAAAGAGTTTGGCTTAAATAATAAAACTTTGGCTTGAATAAAACTTCATGTGTTTTAGTGCTTTTCAGACTTACATTACACCAGTCTGATCTCTTGCAACTTTTAAGAAAAATACAACTTTCTCACGACTTCATACTCTTAATTGAACCTTCTTTTCTTACTTATTAAAAACTACAATCACCGTGTAATAAGAACCGCATAAAGCACTGCACAATTTTAGTTTCCTTCTATAAAGGTAAATTATAATGATCTCTGAGTTTTTGTTTTGGATTTTGGTTTTTCGACATTGAAAACATATTCATAGAAGTGCGTTTTGCACCATGGTATTAATATACTATTTGACTGGATGTGTGAAAATACACTCTGACAAGCAAAGCATTTAACTGGGGCCACTTTTCAGCAGCACTCTTATCTCCCAAGTGTTTTTTACGCACGTGTTGCTAGGAGGAAAAAAAGCATTGATTAGTCAGAGCTGACCCTTGCCAAATTAGGCAACACAATTTAATAAGGCTAATTTCCCTTTATGACCATAAAAAAATAAACAAGAAGAAATATGATCTTAGCTAACATGACCCTCTTCAATTGCTGAACATAATTAATGGTCTTGCTGCACTGAACAAGGAGACGGCATGGTGAGGAAGCCTTTCATTACACTGAGTAGATGTTGGGATTCTAAAAAAAAAATAATTTCAATCTCTGCTGGGAAATTATACTTCTAGAAAGATGGTTACACAAATTGTGCAACAGTGCAGCTGAATGACCTTCTGTATTTTAGTCATCTTCATTATTGGATGACACTTCATTAACATATCTGCTGTTAAACTCAAAGGTGATAGATAATATTGAAAGCTCTATCCCAGCATAGACCAGTAACTTGATAATGATTGTGATCGTTTTGTCTTTTGTTTGGTTACTGAGTCATCCCTGGATGATGAATGCATATCAAAGTGCACAAGAAAACACGGTGACCAGATTTGATATTCGCAGATTGGCAGACAGTCTCAAAAGAAAATGTCGAAAGCATGATAGTTATGGGTCACAAAGGGAAACAAAGTTTAAAAGCATTGCATAAAGACAGAGATGGTTTTATGCCTCTACTACTTTTACTGGGACCTACATGCGTTGAAAATTATTCTTTTCAGTTGAGCTTAGCAAAGAGAATAGTCTAGTAAAAAAGGCAGTTCTGTACTGGCCTCTCTCTTTTTTTGATTGAAAGGGGAACTAAAATTGATCACACAAAGGCTCATATTCTGCCGCATGCACTTTTTTGTCGACATTGATGCGAGTCAGTAAGTGAAAGGACACACCAGGTGAGACGAGCCAAAGGCTGGCAGTGTCAGAACAGCACAGTGTCTGGTTCTAGCTCAGCAGAGCAGCTGCTTTGATGCTCTGGGAGCCGAGAAATCTGACTGCAATTTTTCAGTGCCTTAGTGGAGCGCTGCATGCTGGGTAGGCTGCGGCACGGATCAGGCTTCAGCAGATTCAACGAAGGAAACAGGCCTGTAGGTAAAAAGAAACTTGTGAAATTGTGGTATCTGTGAGTTTCCTGATATTTTACAGCAGATTTCACTTCATTAAAATTGTGCACCCTGTAGGCTTTTGTCCCTTATATCTTAAACACCCAAAGATGTGAAACCCTCATAGGCTACAGGTTGGAAATTAAATATTGGCTTCTGACAGCAGGTTAACTTTCAAGTCAATTCACTGGAGCTAAATAGTGAAAACATCTGAAGTTTCTCTTAATTTGTGCTTGCAATATGTAGTCACAAACATCCCCCAAACATATTAATATAATAATTAATTTAAGCTAAAATACATGCATCTTGTTAGCATCTTGCACCTGTGTGTGCTGGATCAGAGATATATGCACATTCAAGAGGAAGATGCACATTAAAGAGTCATTAGAACAAGTGATTGTCATTTGTATTTTTAGTTCAGTTATACAGCTCACAGTCTGAAATGCTGGAGAGCTAATGTTCCATTGTCGTTACACATTTAAACAGAAACAATTTGCATAATGTCTCTGCCCTTATTCAGTGTCCCCATCCATGAGGAGTATTACATTCCCACAGGTTAAATGGTGTGGATTTTTCTATTGATTTGAGGATCATAAACCACACAACAATCACATAAATTGCTCAGTGAGTTTCGACAGATTTATACAGCTTTCCACCTTGTCTGTACCCAAGCATAAGCCATATAAGAATATAACAAGAATATAAAAATGCTTACTGTGAACGTTAGCAGGTTGTGAGCAGAAATCAGTAGCATCCCACTCGTAGTTCTCATCGACAGAGACCTTTCTCCTAGAGAGGACATAAAACAAGGCATGTTTAATGCACGCTCACACACACTCATGACTGTCTACAAATGGAAAAGTACTATGAGCCACACTTTGATTTCTCCCAGCAAAGAATAAACTATTTCTTGTTTTTTGCTTCATAGTTTGTCAGACGGAGCAGAATGCTGAAGGTGTGCTTGCAAATATTCAGAAATCTTTAATATTATCATCATTTTTTTAAACAGTTATTAAATGCTTTCCTGTAGAACAAAGAAACTCTATAATCTCCATCTCATTCTCAGTTATGAAATATATTTTGCTTTATGCAATATATCAGTGTTTGATGTTGATTTTGATTCAAATGGATTAAATTATTTTGATGTTGTTCACACTGTATTCCAAAAAATAACAACACACAAACATCATCAGATGCTCTTCTACCTTGATAGAGTTTATACAAAAATGCAGGATTAAATTCCTTTTTTAAAAAACTTCTTTCTAACTTTTTGATATGTTTTAAAGAATAACCTTGCTCTAAAGTTTGGTTTTCTAAAATTGGGTATACAGCATATTACTGTAATCTGAAAACACAATGTGCAATGTTTCTTTCTATAATTACATTAAATTGTATATTAGGCTAACCTTGAAAGCCTTGTATTTACCATACAGGGTTTATTCAAGTTGCAAATGTAATCCCACACATTTTGTTCTATACAACATAATTTCCGTTATTCATTATGGCTTAATACCTTTGGCTTGATTCCATTTTGTTATTTTGTATGTCCTGGGTGTTCCCCTGGGTGTCCTCTATAGTCTCAGGTGAGCTTATGAGTGTTGGAGAAAGGTTACACATGGAAAGGCGCCCATTACTGGGCTCCATGCTTCCTAGGCCACTGCTGGCATAACTGCTGTAGCTGCTGCCAGACTCTGGCACTCCATCGTAGCCTCCTGCCTCCAATTCCAGTACCTCATGAGCATCGGTGTTGGGCAGTAAGCATATAGCGGCTCCTTTCACGGCCTCCAAATAACCTCCCTCCTGTTCCATGTCCTCCTGGTATTCCCCTGGCATTGTGGCAGCACTGGGTACAAGACCGGTCTCTCTTCTTGGTTCGTAATGACAAGGCACATTAGGATTTATTGTGGGCCTTTCTGGACGGCTCATTGAAAATAGAGGGTCAGCAGCAGCAGGAGTTAAATAGGTGGCATATTTGGTATCTGCATGATCATTTGGAGGAGAGCTGGAAATCTTCCTAGGAGGAGCACTTTGAGGTTTCCAGAACAGCGAGTCTGGAGGACAAGATGATGGAGCAGAGCAGTTTTCTTGGCTAAGAGAGTCTATCCATGCATCAGGAGTCAGGAAATTGCTTTCCTTCCGTCTTCTCAAGTCTAGACTCTGACTTCGCTGCTTAGAGAGTGATATTTTAGAGCCTTGGCTCGCAGCTTTCCACATGTGTGGTTCTAAAGGTTGCGAAGAATCTGGGACCCTGAATATATCATCCACAGAAACAGGGCCACGGCAGTTCAAGCTTGTGCTCCTCCTCATATCATGATGCCGACCTCTGCGGGTCAGTGTATGCCCTTGTACATGAGATGCAATTCGTTGGTGCAACATTGGCTTTGCAGGCCGCACACGACACATCTCAAAGTGTGGCTCATCTACACTCATCTCAACACACAAATCTTCACCAGTGGGTTTGGGGAGCACTACCTCCACATTTGAAGAGCCTGGCAACGCATCAAGAGCTGAATTAGATCTTTCAGTGTATTTATTGCTGTAGAAAGACAATGTTGAAAGGCTGCCATGACTAAGATTGTTCTGTCTCTGTGCCTCAGAACATGAATCATTTGTTTGCATATCTAGGCCTGTGGATTGTGGTGAATCATTATAGCTTTCTGGTGCTGCCCCTGCTCTTTCATGTCTCTGGTGCTCTAGGGAAAGATGTGGGAGAGTTAATCTGGCTTTCGAAAAACTGCCTGCCTCCGCAGATTGAAAGGAAGTCTGTTTGGGCAAAAACGGAGAAGAATGACGATTGCTGGACTTTAAATATGAGGGAGCTGCAGCTGATGATGCGTTGAGATGGGTCCTGGATTGAATCAAAGTGGGTGGAGAAACAAGAGGATGCGTTTCCCAGTAGGAAGAAGATGATGATAAAAAGCTTGGTGAGAAACAACGGTTCTCCTTGCTGGCTAGGGAGTATCTGTGTGGCAAGGTGCTGCTCTTGTATTCCCATAAAAGCTCATTGCCACCATCCTCTCTCCTCTTTAAGTCTGACTGCTCGTGCTTTGTGGAGTTTCTTTCTAATGTGTACCACTGCAGCTCCCTCTCTAGTTCCTCCCTCTCCTGAGCCAGCTTCAGGCAGCGGTGCAGGTTCCCCCTTTCCCTCTCATGTTCCATTTGGAGCACCAGAGCGCTTGCAGTTGTAGATGGCTGACCAAGGCCAGCTCGGATATGTGGAAGCACTGGAAATACGGGAGTCATTTCTCTGTCGTGATGATGAATAGTGGCCAAACTACTGTCAGAGCACAAGCTGCTGAGTTCAGGAAAGCCATCATAACTTGACTTCTTGCAAGGCGGGAGATCAACAGAAAGCACAAATGGACGCTCTTTCCTGTCTTGCTTCTCCGAGTGCAGTGACACAGACCTTCGAACTTTAGAGTGTTGGTCATACCTTACACTTTTCTTGCTGTGAACACTCAGAGTCTCAGTGTCATATGGTGGGAGTGTGAATCGCCCATCTGGACCTCTAGAGATCATCTCAATTGAAGGAGAAATTAGAGATGTTGTTTTAGTGAGGCTGTCTCTGCTGTACTTGGACATAAGATGCTTCCTCCGATTATTATTCTCAGTGCTAAATGAGGAACAGTCTGTCTGCAAAGAAGAGGAGGTGGTGGTAGAGGAAGATGTGGGATAGTGGGAGCTGGCTGGAAGCAGGCTTTTCTTCAGCACACTGTCTGGAGTGCTGGTGCCTGAAGTCTTTCTGTGAGGGAGAGAGAGAAAAAGAGGGAAAGGGAGGGGTGACAGAAGAAAATTGTAAGAAAAACTGGAGGTGTGAGGGGAAGAGAAATAGAGGCAGAGAAAATAAGACTGAGCAAAAGTGAAAGAGGGGGCGGGAGAAATATATAGAGAGACCAAAACAGCAGCAGCAGCAGCAGCAGAGGATGAGGAAGGAAACAAAGATATGCAATAGAAAATAACTGAAGTGCTGGCATTTTCAGCACACTTAAAGGAAGGCAGAGGGAAAGGTGAATGGGAGGTATTATAATGAAATGATAAAGGGGTACTTACATTGATGGGGAGCATTTATAGATGGCAGTTGGGGGCTCTGAAAGGAAGGGAGAGGGGCAAGATGGTATCTGACTCAGTAGGATACAACCACACTGACCAAGACGTAAAAACATAATCAACCGTAATAAGAGCCCATTATAGGTCCCGAGGCACCCAGGCTTGTCCAAAAAGTTAATTACACTTACATTTATCAGCCACTAATGAGAAATTACCCTAATTAGCAAGTAATGTAAATGACATCAATAACTTTTACAAGTGAATGGACGAAGGGGGTGGACAAGAGGAGCGCCAAATCCATGCAGTGGGCCATGATTTATATAATGGATTGAAAGTGCTTTCAATATTTTATTGAATAAATGATTATATTCATGATGCAGTTCATCAAAGTGAGTGTCTGCTGTGTCTCTGGAGTGAGGAGCATTTTACCATCGCTCTTCTTTCTGCGGCGCTGGTTCCTCTTGCGGTTGATGATGCAGGCGGACCCCAGCAGCAAGACCAGGGCCAACAACATGAAGCCGACTCCACCCAGGACACCGGCCAGTAAGGACTCTGGGACGAACTCCAGGAGCCGGGAAGTGGACGGGTAAATCTCCATACCTGTGACATGATATAGATATATATGTATATATGCATATATATATGTG